TTGATGTTATCCTCCCACCTTTTTCTTTGCCTTCCTCTTCTTCTCCCTCCTCTTGTGGTGCCCTGCAATATTTCTTTGGCAAGCCCTTGTTTCCTTGTTACGTGGCCGTACCATTGTAGTTTGCGTTTTTTCACAGTCACCAGTAGGTCATCGTGCTCCCCAATTGCCTGACGAAATCTTTTGACTTCTCTTGCACTAAAAAAGTGTACTAACATTCTGACCAGCCATCTGCAGTGCACATACACACATTAAATAGTGCACAGACACACATTAAATAAATCTTATATTGTTAAAAAGCCTAAAAAATATATGACTATTTACACTCATTTACATTTATAAATCTTTAAAAATAATAACAATAAATAATAATAATACAGTTTATTTCAAAAACACGCTTCATCCCCAAAGGCTCGAAGCGCGGTACAACAGTTAAAAAAAACACCAAAAAAACAACAGATCTATAATTTACCACATTTAAAACAAACGCAACACTACAAAAACTAATTACAAGCATACCAAGTTAAAGTCTTTCTACCCATTTCAACACTAACCAACACAGCCAATATGCATTAAATGGATGATATGGTAGGATTTGTTGGAATTGTTGGAATTGGACCAGCAAATGCGAAAGTGCGCTTTCCGCAAGTCTCAAGGCGAACACGTGGTGTGGAGAGTTTGCCACTGTCGGATGAGCGGAGTTGTCTAGTGGGTAGGCTACATAAGGCGTCAGCAGCTCTTTCAGATAGAACGGCGCCAGGCCATTGAAACAGCGGTAGCTGTAATAACCAGTCAATTTTTAAGATTAAAATTTTAGTAGAGACCACATGATTGTCGACGTCAACTAATCTAAACCCCCCTCCCTCCCCCTTGTCAACAACTGTCAAAGATCCCCCCCCCCATTTTGTTGACATAATTAATAGACGCCCCCTAATGTGGCTTTTATTTTGTATTTAAATTATTTTTAGGGATAGCTACTTAATTAATAAATGAAAATAAATGAATTTTCAAAAAAAAAAAAAAAAAAAAAAAAAAATAAAAAGGGGTTTTTTAACCAAAAAAAAAAAAAAAAAAAAATTTAAAAAAAAAAACAAAAAGGAAAAAAACAAAAATTTATTTTAATTTAAATCTTTTAATTAAATTTTTAAAAAAAAAAAAAAATTAACAAAAACAAAAAAAAAAAAAAAAAAAAAAAAATCAATTGAAAGGGGTTTCATCACCAAAAAGCACTGCACAAATTATTTTCTAGGATGAACGCAAATGGAAAAAACACAAACTTACTTGTAATTATAATGCTTAGACTAACTTTTCTAAATATGTCCTAATTTTACCAGAGTCAAAAAGAAAAAAAAAAACAACAGGTTTATTAGAAAGGTCTATACATTATTATGGGTTTTGAAAACTGGTCATTTTTTATAGATTGCAAATGAGCGGCATAACTATTATAAGAGGACATGAGTTGTTTACAGAAGACATTATATTTTATTAATGTGTGCTTTTATCTTAGGGAAATTCGTATGCAACGAAAATATAAATTTCCCAATATTCAGAAGATTTAAATTTTTATTTGGAATTTCAAACTACTCTGGTTGAGCCCTCCACCGGTCGAGACATACCGGTTTGGAATTTCAAACTACTATAACTTTCTTAAATTGCCTCTTCGCTATACTTTAAAACATTTTTATCTAAATCCACAGAATCTATTTAAATTCATGAATTAGGAATAAGCAATTATTTTTAAACACGTGCCAAAAAAGGAATTGACATGATAATCGAAAAGTTAGTTCACAAAAAAAAAAAAAAAAAAAAAAAAAAAAAAAAAAAAAAAAAAAAAAAAAAAAAAAAAAAAAAAAAAAAAAAAAACAACTCTTAGCTTTCTACTGGATTCTCATATAAAATAAAAATATAAAAAAATGATTGCAATGCCAATGGATGGGGCACTTTTTTGTTATTCAGACATTAAAAAGAGAAAAGCAGAAAGCAGTTGGGAAGTAAATAATGATAAAGATAGGCTAACGGCTAAGTATTTAAAAACAAACAAACAAATCTGTTATTCAGGACACTTTGTAACAAAGGTGGTGACACATTTAAAGAAAACAAAAACACTTTTGATTTAATAGTAATTTTTGAAACGTGCGCTATTTCTTTGCGCCCTTTAAATTCTAAGTTAGAAAAGAAAATCATGATGCCTAATTTTTTAATCATGTTTTTACGATGAACTATAATTTGAAAACAGATTGCACATGTTTAATACTTGACTAACTATTAATAAAATTGTAGACCTTTATAGGTTAAAGGCACCAGTTACTATGCAATTTTCATTTTTCATATAAAAAATATATATTTTTTATATTGTTGTACACATTGCGCTCCGGTGGGGGGAGGGGGGGCAGTGCCCTCCCGGAGAGATAGTTGAAAGAAATACTGATTGCTAACAATAACCATATATTTGAAAGCATGATGCCTGGTCAACATATTGTTGTCGTTCCATTTCATGAAAATAAAAAAAAACACTGCAAAAGGTAGAAATTCCTAAAAATTCCCCCCCCCCCGGCGGACCACCCTATCTGCACCCCACCTTTTTAGACGGTGTGAGAAATTACTTAACATTATGAAAACAATCTCTTACTAAATAGAAAGGCTGCTCTTAAAGCAACAATTTCATGAAAATAAAAAAAAACACTGCAAAAGGTAGAAATTCCTAAAAATTCCCCCCCCCCGGCGGACCACCCTATCTGCACCCCACCTTTTTAGACGGTGTGAGAAATTACTTAACATTATGAAAACAATCTCTTACTAAATAGAAAGGCTGCTCTTAAAGCAACATTTCCTATTTATGTGTATTCAAAAAGAGGCTTGAGAGAAAATAAATATTTTTAAAATGAAATCTTTTTCTAAATTCCCCCCCCCCCAAAAAAATGTGCCATACCAATTACTATACTAAGGCTTTACTTTATTAATTTCTACAACATTAATTCGATGGCGAATAATTGCATGGGTGTATCAGTTAGTGTACTTCTATCAAATTAAACATTTCCATATTACTTTCAAAGAATCTGTTGTGATAGATGTAGTCTGAAAGAAGATTTCACGTTTGCACATGTAATTGTTTAAAAATAAGTTTGTTTTAGAATGAATTTTAATTAATTGTTAATTAATGAAATTTGTTTAGTTCGTATGACGTACTATTTGGGGGCGGGGGGCGGGGCGGTCTGAAATTTGTGACAAATTGTGACAGGGAGGGGGGTACTCCCCCCCCCCCCCCCCCAGTGAAAGGGGGGGGGGGTCTCCCCCCCCCCCCCCCAATACCTACTTTATTGACGGCCCATAATGTGAAAAAGCTTCATTTATATTTTGCGACTACATTACTAAGTGTTTCTTTTATTGTTATATTTAAAAAAAAAAAAACTTTCACTTACATAAAAGCAGGAACGTATTATTTACATTTGAGTGAAACAAACATGGTATTAATTACTATTCTCTCTCCAATCACCAGTTTATACAAGTTAATTTCTTCTCAAATACGTTTCTAAAATCATTATATAGTCAGCGAATTTTTCATTTATCAGGTAGTCGGCTTGCCGCCTCTCAAAAATCCTCTTAGTTCTGCCCCTCCGGTTGCGCCCTCCACCGGTCGAGACATACCGGTACGTGTGAATGTGATTCAGACGCAACAACAGGAAAACCACGTCTGCCGTGTTTTACCGTTCCAAGTTATTATGTTTCTTGTCTGGGAATCCCCTTGCCCCTATGTTAGGTCAGATCGGCTGCTACTGGTTGCTATAAATAATGATGACGTGAGTCACAAGAGTTCAACACTGAATGGGCAAACCATTATGGTCGTAAACTGTAAACAATTGGTTTCCCATGGCGTAAAATTGAAGAGAACATTTTTTTTTAAAAAGTAAACAATCAAACGCTATAAATAGGGTCGTGGTAAATATTGTCACTAATAAAACATGACAATAATCGCATTAAAAATTTGATTATAAAATTTGGAAACTACAATTTTAATAATAATAATGGCTAAAATAATTTAAAGTCCAAATAAAGCAGTATCGTTTTTTTTTTTTAATGTGTGTGTTAAAAACACAATAATATTTTATTTTAAAGTGTACATGAATGGAGAGTCCTTCAAAACTGGACAAAACCAAACGCGCCACCGCATCCCTCTTTCATACCAGCGAAGCCCATTTGGGAACAACACACGACACAGCCCGCTATGATGCAAGCGTAGCGGGCTTAGCCAGACACCGACAGCTTGCCTCCGCCATAAATTGTAATAATAATGAGTGAATCTGCTCCCCACAAAGAATTAGGCGGCAACGAGTACTTAGGCTATAGTGTTTTTGTAAGGACCTAATTTTTTTTCTTAAAACAAACAAATAAATAAAACCTTTAAACTGACACAATTTAAATTACAATGCAAAAAAGACCAAATGATTGCTTTGTTTAAACTCAACTAATTCATAATAATGTAATATTTAAATTAATTGCCGTAAGTTTCATTGAAATTTCAAACTTATTTTCAAAGACCAGGGTGTTTGGAGAAAAGATTAAAAAAAAAATAGGCGTTATGTTTTATACGTGCCCGCGTAACCGTAACGCGTTAATGCTAAACACGTCTTACGTTTTACACTTGCCACTACAAAGTTGTGGTTTCACCCCTCCCCAACCTCCCTTCCCCCCCCCCCCAAATGTGTTCTAATCGGGTGAGCCGGTGCGAGGGAACTGCTGCCTTCTGCAATTTCATAAGGTTGCACATTTCCTCCAATCGAAATTCTGCATGTAAAACATTTGTATACAACTCCAATCCTATGCCCTCGCAGTCGGTTTTGTTTTGGAAGTTCGGCGTTCTCCCGCGTTGTAACCTACTTTTAGTTTACTACGACAGCTAACGGTTCGCCCAGCTGTGACTCTGTCGTGTCGACTCGGCTTTTCAAATCGGCGCTCTCGCCGCGCTCATTATGAAGCCCGATGGATTACCATGAGGGAAGAGAATGGAGAAAGGAGATGGAGAACTACAAACTGTAAGTAGTAGTACTACCATTTTATGCATGTATTTACAAAGATTTTACAATAAACTATGTTCCGAGGCCGATATCTGATCTGGTTCAGCTCTGTCCCGTACAATCCACATAGAACAGGCCACACTGTACACTTCGTAAACAGCGATGAAATTTTGAATTTTGCGCGTTCGAGCCGTGACCCTGTGACATGCAAAAGTTGCTCAGGGTCTGGCGCTGTTAACCACCAAAATCAAAACAGAATTAGATACTGGTAAAGACGTTAAGATTCCAACCATGTACGAGCTGTAAGCAAGTACCGTTATGCTTCAGTCGTAGCTCGTTTAGGTGGACCTAGCAACCCGTATCGCTTGGCCTTACCCATCCCCCGCCCTTTCTTCACAGAAACCTGTTGTTATCGTACCGAGAAGTAAACGAAACTTTCTAGAAAAAAACAACAAAAGTGTCTGGGTCAGACTAACGGTACCTTTCCCTTAGCATTCACGGTTAAAACAGCCCTGCTACGTGAATGATTCGTTACGCGTTGTGGATACGGTTTTGTTGTTTAGATTGTAGTAACGCGTTTAAATCGAGTGACCTCAATAGTTTTGGCGCCCGCAGCTAGTCGAGGTCACGGCGATGACGCAACTGGTATTATTTTGATGCTGGGATAAAATCGGACCCAGTGGACCGACACGACCTGTACATGTAAAGCAAACAAAAATATTTACACCGAATATAAATTGTAAGTGAACAATTTTAATGTACGTGACGTTTGCTTTAGGCTTACTTAACAAACAAAATAAAAATACAACTTAGGTTTCACAATAGTTGACAACAATAACATTTTGACAATTTTGTTATGAGATCAATTACTCAATAAGAAAAGAATATATTTAAAATGATATGGTTGATCATGTGATTTATGGTTGTTCTTCACGACACAAGAAGGGGATTATCTTATTACGAGTATATGTACAGTTTTGGAGTTGTATATATTTTACATGATTAGAAATGCCGGTACTAAGTACTAGATTAGCTATTTATTTCCGTTTATATAGTAATTTATACATATTTAATGTTTATTTCATTATTTACAAGGGGCGCTCTCGTGTCCTTTTAATGCAAAAAATGACAGTCGGCTTCTCACTAGTTCAATATTTTAACAAAAATGCACTTTCTATGTGTAAGCCCTTTGTAACACACATGACATACGTTACATACGAAATTTGCAAATTAAAATTTAAAACGTCTGTTGCTACCTCATTTTAGTCGGAATTTTCCTGGCCGAGATATTAATTAAGCATTTAATGGTATTATTGTTACATTTTTGAGTCTTTATATACTATATTAAATATAATATAACATTGTTGGATTATCATGCATCCCTTTTATTTTACATAAAATATAAGAATGAGATTACACACTGATGATATTATCACATAGAATAGATATGACTTAATTTTACTCTATGGTGGTGTAGCCTACATGGCCCTAAAGGGCTACTCATACATTCATAAGTCACTCTTTAAAGATATTCTGTAAAATTCAGTTGAGGGCTTATGCCTCATAGAACATAGTTCCCTAACTCAGGCTGAGCAGCTCTCGGCTTGGTGCGAGCACAGTAAACCGCCATTTTGTAATGTACAACTATGACTATGGCATTCTTTAAAGCTACTGGGGATTATTGAGTGGGATTGTCTTAATTTGCGATCGGGCAGTAATCAGATTACACCCAGTTTTAAAATTATTAACTTTTCATCAGCAAAAGTGGATATAATCGTATGGTGATTTTGCGAAGCACATTTAGGAAATGTAATTTGTCACAGCACAGTTTATTAAGGGTAGTAATAAGAGTTCGTTTTTTTCAGGTTTTCCCATTCTTTGTTTCACTCATTTCCTTTCACAGTTTATCATAAGGTTTATATTTAGTCATTAGTAAACACTACCAAAGTAAGCATAGTTATAGCATTAAACTTAAACACCTAATATTTTTGCGCAGATGTCTGGAACTTTTTATGTTTTTATATTTGTTCTGGCTATTTTTCACAAATATGGGTGAACTGTTGTGTTAAAACGGAATATTCAAAGGCTTTGTCAAGACATTTCAATGCCCTGACTCAAGACCTTACAACTTTCAACATAGTTCTACTTGAACGTGTTGCTACTAAGGTGGTAGTTTGTTTGCATTAGATCACAATAAAGACTTTTTAGAAATAGCTCGAAGTACAATCATTCTAATTTCAACTAAATTGAAAAAAAAAAAAAGACATTTAGATCTTAAAACTAATAGTCTAGTTTGTCATGTATACAACATCTATTTTTTATGAATTTGTTATTTATACTTTTATTTTTTTTACTCAGCCCAACGCCTCTCCGGCGATGAGCCATGTAACACACATGCCCCACGATACTGTGCTAACACTGACCAGCATCTCTCTCACTCTCTCTCATATCGACCGCCCTTTGAAAATTTGACTTTGCCGCGCCAAATTTCCCAACCGATAACTGCTCTGGTTAATCAATATCTTGACCTAAAAATAAGCCCCGTGCTGTGGATTGAATCTAGATTCGCACAATTCTTTCTGCATTATTATTATCATCATCATCACTATCATTGTTTCACGTCTCAATTTAATGGTGAAAGAGTAGTCAAAACAACGGACCAAGGGAGCTGTGATACAATTTACAAACGAACATAAGGCCAATACTGTAGCTTATCTAGTATCTTATAGTTGGCTTATTCTTATGGTTGGCCTATTCTCATAGTTGGGCTATTGCCACTAAGCCATTTCAAGAGTACTACAAGTTATTTATTCCGTTAGTTATTTATTCAATAAAATCTTAGTTGTTGCATGGGTGACTTTATGGAATTAAGTTAAGTCAATATCAATAAAAACCACAACGAATATACAACAAGTGATTCAGTTCAACATTTAGAAAGCAAATGTTCCATAAATATTTTAGATTTCCTTCCTACTGTCACCGGAAATAAACGTGTGCAACAATTTAAGGAAAATCTGTCCGTTGAATTGGATACAAAAAAAATGATGCCATCAGTGATTCCCAAATTTTTCTATACTGCGCATCCCGTACAAAATACCCGAATTGTCTTGTGTCGCCTTAAAATATTTTTCTAAGTTTCGCATCCCCTGCAACAGTAACACTACATTTAACACTTGAACATTTTTAGACTTGTTTTTTTTTAAATGAATTGCAAAGAGAACCGTAAAACTAAGACTGGGTGTTTCACTCTGTAGGAAATAAGTAGAGCATTGTCATAGGGGGCATCTATATTTTTTTAAAGATTACGTACCTGCAGTTAGATTATTACTGCATTGTAGAGCTTCACAAAAATAAATGCTTCTCATCCGGACAGAGTAGCATTTAGATTGATAGGTATTACTATTAATCTTTGTGTTTATATTAGGAAAAGAAAAGGGTGGGAATCAAATAATTTAAAATTTAATTTAAAATTTGAATTGTCACACGTTGACGAAACAAATATGCGTAGGCCTACTTGCGATTTCTTGGATTTCGGCAATGCTGAAACAAATATCTGTGATATTCTATAGTCTATAGGCCTATTTGTTTTTTTTTTTGTTGTTGTTATTGTAAAAATCGAAACCCTTCTATTTATCCAAATAAATATGCCACTTATAATATAGGTTTATGGCCTGTATCGTAATTTGGAGTTTAACGTAAAATATAAATAACTTCAATTTTGAAGCACAGTTTAAGATAGTTGTCGATTTTTCAGCATCTCGTCGCCCAAGCAAAGAATTAACTCTTGAACACCCACTTAATTTATTCGTATTTATTTCTTATAATCATTATTATTAGTTGTTGATTGATTAAGTGATAAAGTTTAAGAGAAAAGGGATGTCAACGAGCAAAATTCCCGAGAAAAAAAAAAAAGACCCATATTTACATTTCTGGTCATGACGTGAGAGCCACAGCGCGCAGACGGTTGAACCCCTAGACTTATCTATTATGTTTTAGGTCATTCCATGAAACGAGAACCGCCGCGCGAAAACTCCTACAACCCAAAGCAAGACTTGTACCTGTTATTTCTAGGTCCAGTCAACAAGATCAACTTGATCTAAGACAGAGTTACCCCACACCGCCAGCCTTGACCTTGACCTACCGGCACGCGTACGCTGCTTCGGGTTGTTTTTTTTTTTTAAGCTACAGGCAGTCCAGCGGGGAAAAAGTCACGGCGCGGGCACATATAATCAAAATGAATAAATTAAACAAATAAGCAAAGCGCCGAATATTCGCCACCGGCATTTCGAAAAGGTGGATGCGCACACACCGGATCACATCAGCTCCATTTTTAGAATTTGAGCGCTGGTTGACATGTTGATCGGATATTTATAGACCGTAGTTTTCTTCTTCCTGTTGTGTATGAATGTTTCTTTTCAGCAGCATATTATTTCGACCAATATATTCACGCCAATCTAGTAACTTTTCAAACTATTTTTTGGATTTATCTATTTTTTTTTTTTTTTTTTACTTTTTTTGGAATTCCCGGGAAAGTGAAAATGTTTTTTTTTTCCCCTTCATTTTTTCCCTTTTCCGAACTTGTTTTTTCAAACTTTACATATTATTTCGACCAATATATTCACGCCAATCTAGTAACTTTTCAAACTATTTTTTGGATTTATCTATTTTTTTTTTTTTTTTACATATTTTGGAATTCACGGGAAAGTGAAAATGTTTTTTTGTTCCCCTTCAATTTTTCCCTTTTCCGAACTTGTTTTTACAAACTTTAGTCCTGGATATGAAATGATAGCTCCGTTTAATGCTCATTTAAAAAAGCCAAAGTCTCGCTAGTATCATAACCATTCACGGTAAGCTGATGCTAGTTTGTTGTCGAGAGTTCTGAATTCCACAATCTTTACTTGACTTACACAAGCGCCCCTTTATCGATTTTGTAAACATACAGCAGTTTGAATGTTTACATCGTAGCCGGAGTCGAGGAGTTTCGCCGCTTCGACAGGAGTCGTTGATTATTTTTCTTGCCCGACTCCATCGCCGTCCCATAAATACATTTAATAAATTAAATTATTTATATATATATATGTGTGTGTATATTTGAGGTCATACATTTGAACACATTGAACTTAAACAACCCTGACTAACGCCATGCGCAGTAGTTGGGATCGTTACGTCTGTTTAGGACATAGAGTCCTTATTGGAATAAATGAATGCTGCAGTGGGTCATGCAGTGGTTCACGTGATTCTTCTCTTCATTGTCCGCCAACAGCTAATAAGCCACTTTCCTTCGTGTTGTGTTTCTTATTCAGTTGTACGTGATCATCCCAGGTAAATTATAAAATTTACTAAAAGCCCCCCACCCCCCCCCCTTTTTTTTTGCTCCCCAACTAAACCGAACAAAAGTAATTATTATAAGTAATCGAGCATAGAAATAATAATGTATTTTGAATTACATAATTTGATAAATAAATAATAATATATATATATGAGAAAAATTCAACCGTAACATGTTATATTAGTGTACAAAAACAGAAGGTAAACCTATTTGGTGAGTGTATCGCATTATTCATTGGTATTTTGCTATATAAACCTCTTATATGAAACCCTCTCTGTAGCCACCACGGGCTTTGATGTTCTTGAAAACAAACACTTATGACATTTAGAAACATGCAGTGACATTTATAAACATGCAATGATATTTATAAACATGCAATGACAAGGGAAAAACAGATGATGATTATTATTATTATTGCCGTCGAAAAAAAATAAAAAAAAAAAAAAAACCAACAAACAAAACAACCAGCACCTGTAGGACTTTTGAAATAATTGAGGCGTGAAATGTTTTGCTTCAGTTCATCCATGAAGAAATGGGGCCAGATGTAGATAAAACATGCAATGATATTTATAAAAATGCAATGACAAGGGAAAAAAAGATGATGATTATTATTATTATTGCCGTCGAAAGAAAATAAAAAAAAAAAAAAAAACCAACAAACAAAACAACCAGCACCTGTAGGACTTTTGAAATAATTGAGGCGTGAAATGTTTTGCTTCAGTTCATCCATGAAGAAATGGGGCCAGATGTAGATCTTCATCGAATATAGCCTACGCCACTGGCTAATGCATATTTTTAAAAATTGGAAGAAAAAAAAACACGACAAAGTAGTATCATATCAATGAGATCTTATTTGGTCAAATTTAAAAATCCAGGAACGATAATCTTGATAGTGTCCCCTTGTACATTCACCACCTCAAGGTAACAGATGCATTAAAATTAAATAAACAATATACTTAACATTATAGCCTACTGGCATCTTTGTGAAAATGAATAAATTACAGGGAGCTTGCAAAAAAAAAAAAAAAATGATTGTTAAGAAAACATTATTTTAAAAAGGCAGAGACTTTCTTGTCTGTCAGGGGTACAGCCTTAGTTGTTTAAATTCAACCATTATTTATTTTGAACTTTTCAGAATGTCTTTGATTGCAAAAAAAAAAAAACATGCTCAATGTGCCCCCCTTTTAACAAGTTAATTTATCAGGTATATTATGTGCATGGGCGTCTGCATAAATACCTCAAAAATAGGTTAAGCCATAAATGAACTCATAAAAGTTTATGGCATACTTCGGTAAAATTTAGGATTGAGCTGCTGTTAAAAATTGGGGATAAAAAGTAGAAAATTTATTTGCACGTGTTTTTACAATTTAATGGTTGTTTTGTAAGCGATTTTAGCAGTTTAATATGTGTTATCATTCATATAATATGCCGTAACACCATAGTTAGGCTTATTATATGGTTTTAAAATATTTTTTTTTTAGAATACATTTAATTTATTTTATTGAGGAAAACATGGAATAGATGAACTACAACAAACTTTTAAATTTAAAGAAAGCAGGAAAAAAGTTGAATTGAAAAGAAACTGATTTTAATTGTAGCATTCCCGAATAAGGTGGATAATTGAAACATTTGGATAGTTTTTCAATGCAGCCAAGAGGGCGCTGTTCACGTGACAGTTTCATGCACTCACGTGTCTTGTAAATTTGTAGCCAGGATTTTGAATAAATTGGATACTTCCACTTCTGAGCTGGAAAATAAAAAAGAAAATAATAAAACCAACAACAACGTCTATTTTAACACTTACAGTTTAGACAATGATCCGTTGTCGTAATGAAAAGCTATATCAATCTTAATAACCGTCAAAGGTTGCATCTTTTTATTCTTATTTGAAATTAATTTTAAATAAAAAAATATATAAACTTCATACAGTATTTCAATCTTTCTTTTGGACGCGGTGTTACTTGTAGGAAGAGGCGGGATGGTAGACTTCATCCAAATATCTTAGGACTTAAGATTTGCGTGTTAAACTCGTATGGTAAATCTTGTATATTTTCCAATTTACAATTTCAATAGGCAGTTGTTCAGGTGTTTTTGGTCAGTGGGACATTTGCCTTTAAAAGAAAATCTACTTTGATTAATATTCCATGACACAATAAACCAGCCGTTTTAGGTGTTCAAAAAATAGCGCAAGTCGGGAGGAAAAACAACCACAAAACATTCACGCTACATCCTGTGTGAATACGTTGAATAAACAAGCCTACGCCTACGAATAGGCTATACTTTCATTCAACGTGAACTTGCCGCAGAAGTCTTCATGGTCATTAAAATTGAGCAATTTCCAAAAGAATTCTTTGGATCAATATTTGATAAAATACTCTGTTTTACTCATTTTATTTTGTACTAACCTGATTGCAGTCTCCCCCCCTTATTACCCCGATCAATATTTGATGTCCACATCTAAAGGCAGTTGAAAAGTCCAGCCGTACCGTGAATGGAATGTTTAAGTCATTTGACTTTCTGGCGGAGCACACCACTCGCGAGTTATTGTGACACAAAGCATCAAAGATTCACGTTTATAATTAAACATTTGACATTTTTCAGTATGGTTTTATTGTGATCAATTAATTTGTTAAATATCAACAAGAAATTATCACCAGTTATAGTTAATAAAAAAATAATTAAAAAATCAACTCACAACTATAAAAATTATAGAAGTCAAACGATGGCCAAAAAGTAGGCCCATAGCCTATACAGATGAAGACAGGGCAAAACGTACGGCATATGTAAACTGGACATAAGGTACGACAGATGTTGGCTGGACATAAGGTACGGCAAAAGTAGGCTGAACATAAGGTACATCATATGTAGGCTGGACATAAGGTACAACAGATGAAGACAGGGCAAAACGTACGGCATATGTAAACTGGACATAAGGTACGACAGATGTTGGCTGGACATAAGGTACGGCAAAAGTAGGCTGAACATAAGGTACATCATATGTAGGCTGGACATAAGGTACAACAGATGAAGACAGGGCAAAACGTACGGCATATGTAAACTGGACATAAGGTACGACAGATGTTGGCTGGACATAAGGTACGGCAAAAGTAGGCTGAACATAAGGTACATCATATGTAGGCTGGACATAAGGTACAACAGATGAAGACAGGGCAAAACGTACGGCATATGTAAACTGGACAAAACGTACGGCATATGTAAACTGAACATAAGGTACGACAGATGTTGGCTGGACATAAGGTACGGCAAATGTAGGCCAAACATAAGGTACGGAAAATGTAGGCTGGACATAAGGTGTGCAGTTGTAGGCTGGGCATAAGGTATGATAAATATAGGCTGGACATATGTAAGACTGGACAAAACGTACGGCATATGTAAACTGGACATAAGGTATGGCAGATGTTGGCTGGACATAAGGTACGGCAAATATAGGCCAAACATAAGGTACGGAAAATGTAGGCCAAACATAAGGTACGGAAAATGTAGGCTGGACATAAGATACGGCAAATGTAGGCTGGACATAAGGTACGGCAAATGTAGGCTGGACATAAGGTACGGTTAATGTAGGCTGGACATAAGGTACGGCATAAGTAGGCTGAACATAAGGAACGGCATATGTAGGCTGGACATAAGGTACGACAGATGTAGGCTGGATATAAGGTAAAGCAAATGTAGGCTGGACATAAGGTTCGGTAGATGGAAGATGGTTGGTTGAATTATAGTAACGAGCTCTATGTGACATCTTTCTGGTTACTCATCTATAATTTACTGCGTGAGCTCTCAAAGATTGTTGAAAAACAAAGTTAGAGATAAAAGTGATAATTGTATTACATATGTCATGTCGGTAGGTTTGTAATGAACTCAAGTATACCTACTTGTAAAATTAATATTTACGATAATATGCTTACAATGTAGCTTGAGGTTTTCACAGGGATGTCATCTTATATTTTTTTACCAAATATAAAAAAATTTTGAAAAAAAGTTTGGGGGGGGGGGGGGGGAAAGAGAGGTAAAAAAAAACAACAACAACAAACAAAACTAGGCAGGCTTATTGAGTTTTTTTATTACTGGAGGCGCCACAGTAGGCCTACATAGCTATTTAAATAAGAATTGCCACTTTGTGATTTATGTTTTCTATAGTTAATTTAAACAAAATTTGAACAGTTTTCTTTTTTGCTGCTTTCGATTTTCTGCTTTCCTAGATATTGAAACCTAGTAACATTTTCCCCTATACATTCAGGCGAATGCCCCCCCCCCTTTTTTTTTTCTCCCCCCTCCTCAAGCGACTTCCCTATAAATCTAAAGGTATATTTTTCTGGTACATGCTCTCATTTAAAAGACAATTATTAAACAAAATTTGAACAGTTTTCTTTTTTGCTGCTTTCGATTTTTTTCTTTTCTAGATATTGAAACCTAGTAACATTTTCCCCTACACATTCAGGCGAATGCCCCCCCCCCTTTTTTTTTTTCTCCCCCCTCCTCAAGCGACTTCCCTATAAATCTAAAGGTATATTTTTCTGGTACATGCTCTCATTAAAAAGACAATTTGAATGGATCTTAAACATTTTTTGTAACACTGAAACCCAATGGTAGCCAGAATTTGTTAGTTTTGTTAAGTCTACGAGACTTTTAATATTCTTCGTCAGTTCAAAGATTAGAGTGAAACTAATTCCTTTAGAATTTCTTAGTTCCCTCCAAATCTGTATCGATTGAAGCTTATTAACTGTCCCCAAAAGGTCCTTTGATCCCAGGTAGGAACACAAGTGTTAAAATTTTCTACTTGGTTGTAAAGCATTATTTAACGCCACAATGCTTTGTGATACATTTATCATGTTCAACTGTTCGTATGTGGGCCGACTATTGTATTATAGTGTGCGGTGAACTCAGCTGGATATTTTTGCTAACATTAGCCTGAAACTTGAATCCTCTTTCAAAATTATCATTTCAATAATTAAGCACCAATTGAGAAATGTTCGTTTTTTTTTTCTAATGTCAATATTATTACAGATATTCCCGTGAGTAAAAGTCTGTCAAGCTGTAGAATGTTAACAAACAAATGTGGTTCAATTTCAGGGATTCACATTTCTTGTAAAAAAAAATAATTCCTAAGTTATTGAATTAATTTGACGCATGTCGAGTGAGCTATTTAATTATTTTATTATGTTAATACATTTAAACAACAATACATTATGCTTAACGCTTGATACTTGATGTAAAGGGTTGTAGCATTTAAAAGCATCAGTCAAATAAACGTTACAGAAAATTACGATTTTATTTATGCACACGTTTTTAAAGACCAAAAATATTCATTACCTTTGCACCCAACCATGTGATAAAAGTAATGATGTCCGTACCAAATTCTAGAATCCATACTTGAACATGGATAACAAAAAACATTTTTTTAAAAAATAAATGTGGACCAGCTCCCTCCCCGTATCTCGGCTGTAACTGGTCTATGCACAAAGCACAGAACGTATTAACACTAAATGTTCTTAATTTCTACATAAATGTTAACCAAATTTTCATCTACCAACGAAACTTTTTTCAATATATTATGCCCTATCAGCAGTCAGCTCGTATGCTTAGAAATGTAAATAATGTAAAGGATTTTTAACTTGGTGATGACATGAAAAGTGCAATTTTTTTTTCATTTTTAATTCCCCCTATTTAGTTGATAAACTAATTACCATTATAATATCATAATCAACAAAAGGCAACCATGTTTTAACTTAAAGTGAGCAGAAATATTAAATTATTCCAACCCTCCTTTTGCTCTACTAAAGTTAAAGAAGATTTAGAATAATTATACCAGGATAACATAGGCTATATCAAACCTCCTCTTATGATTCATATACTAGTAATAATCTGAAACGATTAAAATTATTTAAATATAACATGTAAAAGTCGTGCTGTCGTTGAGATAAAGAAGAGTACTCAGAGCTATAACATTGAAAGGCCAGCTCTTAGTTCGTATAAAATTCGTATTTTAAAAAAAATACCAAAAGAAGAAATGATATTATCGCCATGTCTTGTGTTAGCTGAGCCATTAAGAAAACAAGAGATAGTTGAGCCACTGAGACCAGTAAATTACCTGACTCACTGAGACCAGTAGAAATAAATGAGCCATTAAGACCACAAGAGATAGTTAAGCCACTGAGACCAGTAAAATACCTGACTCACTGAGACCAGTAGAAATAATTGAGCCATTAAGACCACAAGAGATAGTTAAGCCACTGAGACCAGTAAAATACCTGACTCACTCAGACCAGTAGAAATAAGTGAGCCATTGAGACCATTATTAATTCATTGCTGAGCCCTGGAGACCAGTATACATTTGTAGCCTGGCCATTGACACTTTTATACATTTATAGATGAGCCATTGAGATCAGATTTTGGCAGTAAGCTATACATTTATATAAAACGTAAGACCTGCACACAAAGTTAAATACATCAAAACTACTATTCATAGATGAAAAAATAAGACCATGACTTACACAAGACTTACTCAATTATTTCACATATAAACTTTAAAAAAGTAATTACATACATTGTTCATTTATATCTGATTTTATATACTTTTTATACTATCAATGTTTAAGCCTACATAGTTTTATATTAAGCTATATACATTATTAATTTATTTATCTACTTATCTTTTTGACCATTTCAAAAACTGCAATGTGATTATTTAAAGAAAAATTAGATTTGAAATTTTTTGAGTTTTTTAAATTCTTGATTTTTATTAAAAATAGTTTATTTCTGAATATTAAATGGCTTTTCAAAATCTTTTGTACAATTTTGATTCTCATTTGTTTACTATCATCTATCATACATGTAAAATGATACAAGTAAAAGTAATAACTATTCAGAGTAAAATAATCAACAACACCAAGGTATAATGCAAGGAGTCAGAGTTACCTATTATCAAGACCATCTTAATGACCCAAAGCTATTTCAGTTTGTTGGTGGAGAAATTCAGATTTTGTTAATCATTTGAAACTGATGTATTCTAATTTCTTTTCCTTTAAATTTAACATTTAAGCAAAAATAACTTTGGAAATTTTTGACACAGGAAAGAAAATTCTTATTATACTTGACTATTATTTAGACAATTTCTGAAAGTAAGAACAATCACTAATTATTGTTAACCATGGTGACATACAAAGTTACCATTAAGTTTTTACATGTTTTATTTTAACATTTAGATGGTTACTGAACATTGACAGTTTGGCAAAGTTTTCTTCTTGCCACCTTTCAGGGCATTTCCAAATGCAGAAAATTTGATCTTCTCTTGTGAAATAACCACAAAAACTAAAGTGATAATGACAGTAGAATCCAGATCCCAGGAGCACCATAGGATCAGAGAAGTATAGCCATTTTTCTATCCTGAGTCAAAGAGCTTTATTTAAATCTGTACTTGAAATAATTCTAGGTTAAACTTATGTGTGCTAATCAATTTGTCAGTAAGGTATATACAGTGTATCATAAGGTAGACATACATTATACATGTTATGTTCATTTTGGAGTATTTAATGTCATCAAAATCAAATAGTGCATTAAAAAATTCATAGTTTTCATATCTTTGTTTAACATTGTCCAGTAAAGTGGTTCTCAACATTTTTGGTTTGGTTCAAACTCATGAGATAACCTTTCTCATCTTGATGATAAGTAAGGTTTTAAAAATGTTTATGTTTTACATTATTGCATTGACGTTTGCCTAATCTCCTCACTTTGACATTTACTTTGAATAACCTTGATGGAATTAGTGATTGTCATGAGAGTTAGTATGTCTTTGTAATGGAATTAGTGATTGTCATGAGAGTTAGTAGCCTATGTCTTTGTAATGGAATTAGTGATTGTCATGAGAGTTAGTAGCCTATGTCTTTGTATACAGTTTTGTTTGGATGTGACTTTTTTTATCACATAAAACAATTTGAGACTGATGTAGTTTGAGGTAAAGAGAATCAAACATTTGGCCATTCACCACTATAGATTTTATGGATATTGTTAAAATAATATCTCTTTTCTGGTCTAACTTGTTAATTTAAATATAAAAGATGTTGAGAGTTTTACAGAGGCCTGATCCTATACATTTTTAGGAACTTCCTATAGGCTCATTAAAAATATCTGGTAGCCACGATCTGGTCAGTATGCAAGGTATTTTGCCCATGCCTAGTATCCTTGAATCAGAATATCATTTGGGGTTAGTCCTCAGAAAACTTGTTTTAAGATGAGTAACACATTTTTCATGTGTCATAAAACAACAATTAAACAAACAACATCCATCCATATTTAATTTTTAAAAACTTAACTGTTTTGTCTTTAGTCTCTTTAACATAACAAGGCAAGGCACATTCTGTGGTCAACCTTTTATTATAAATAGCTCCACACTTTGAAACAAATCTTGACAGATGCTTGTCAGCTAAGATAAGGGTAATAAAGAATAAATAAAACTGCATCCATTTCACACAACTCAGAGAAAATAATCTCATCTAGTGTTAATCCCCCCCACCCCCCCACCCCCCCACCCTTTTTTTTTTTTTTTTTAAACATTTTTCTTTACGCTCAATTTAAATTTAAAACATAAAACCAATCAACATTTTTTTGTGGAAGTTATTTTAAAAATCTGATGAAAATAGCTGTGTATCCCTGAAGTCACAGTAAAATAAGTTTAAGCTTCAAGCATAATTAAAGTGGTAGTGATGTTTAACCACTTTATCATGGTTTTATATAAAAATTTATTTTTACTTACTGTATCAAAAGTTATCAATATTTCTAATTATAAAGTTTTCCTTTTCACTCTTCTCAAGATTTATAACAATGAACCATATTCCAGGCATATTTACCAAAAAACATACAAATTATATTTAAAAATTAAAGACTTATTATGCCATCCCTCTTACAAATTGTGTTTTTTTTTGCTTAACACAGATTTAAAATTAAAAAAAACTAAATTTTATTGTTTTTGGGGTTACTCTTGATGTTCTTATATTCTTTACTTTGGGCTAAACATTAATACTTTAAAGTTAAAAGGTTTGCAGCCAAGATTACAACTCAAATAAATAACCTGACTCAAATTTGGAATATACCTTTGTTGGGAAATACAATTAGAGAATTAATTTATTTTTTAAAAAATAATTAAAAGCTAGGCTTAATATAAATCATTTCTTTATTGTTTGAAGACTATATCTTCCATATACTGTTTATTTAAATCAATATGTACATTTTGAAGATGACTAATTTTGTATACTATAATCCAGGTTTACCAACTTTTTCTATGCTCTGCAGCCCCTATCAATTGTTTGATAAGTCTCTCACTCCCTACATAGGGTTACGATGCATTTTAAAATTTGAATAAATAAGGATATTTAACTAAAAAAAAATAAATTAATAACAAAGTAACAAATTAGAACACAGAAAATAAATTTGTGCATACAGTAAAATGTTAATAAAGACATACAAAAATATATAAACAAGTCTTTCATTGCTTAAAAGTAAATGTTTCTTCTGTTCTTATAATCACTTTTCATTGCACTCCCTGAAATGCCACCTCATACCCCTGGGGTGCTTGGGGATGCCAGCACCCCCAGTTTGTGAAACACTGCTGTAATAAAACATTAAATCTAATTTAAATTCTGTTTTGTTTTTTATGTCTGCTCATTAAAAAAAAATTACATTTTGTTTAATTTTTATAGGAAGTAGATGAATAGTTGACATCTCTATTAATTTTGTGTTATCAACATTTGTCATCATAACAAATTAAATTAGGAAACATTTGACATATTTTATTACCTTCTGCCTGGACTTAAAATTAATTTATTTCCTAGATTCTATAAATATACATGTTTGTTTGCTTGTATGCGTAAAGGGTGGGGTGTGCATGGTGGCATGGGTTGTGTGGCTAACTAATCTAATATGAGGCCCTTGATGTTTTTGGAGGCCGTAACTTAACAAGATGGAGAATATGCTTGGATAAGTTGTATAAGATTTTTACCTGACATTTGTAACTATACAATTATGAAGGGAATTGGTTTCATAAATAAATGCTGTATGTCAATTTATGTAAATTAAACAAACCATATTCCTTACTAATTTGATAATTGACATTTTAATTATGTTATAAGCCCCCTATTTTGATATATTATAGTAATGCTTTTAATATTATGACAAATGAACTAAAATATACATTAACCATGCTTTGTTCAATGCTTAAAATATAAATCTTTATTTAGAATAAAATTAATTTTTTTACATTTGAGACCCCATTTTAAATTCTGTAGGCTTCAAACGCCATTTATTAAGTTAAAGTAAATAATGCACTAAAATTTTAGAAAAAAAAACAAGTTAATAAAAAGTCTAATAGGCAAATAATAGCACTAAAGTTAAAAAAAAAAAGTTTTCATAGTTTTTTTTAAAAACAAAACAATATCTAGCACACTTATTAAATAATTTTAACCTGAACTTGCATTATAAATAAATGCTATTGCAAATTAAATGCTTTCTCTATATCTAACCATACAATTTTTTTCTAACAGAAACATCTTTTAAAAACTACACACTCTTTATCTGCAGGATGATGATATTGACCTTTCTATGCCCCAGACCACTGAAACAGGGGAAAGGTGCAATGGTAGTGGGAAGCAAGATGCTGGCAATGGGGATGATAATAACAATAATGATGATATTGATGAAGGTGACACAACAGATGGGGCACCACCCATGCCTGAATCCCATGTGGAGAATGTAAGAGCTCTGTGAGATTTTAACCAAGCGCTTAAAGCTATTTTTTATTAACAAAATTGTATTTTTATCTTCCTTGCAGTCTGCTTCAAAACCATTTTGTTACAATTGGTGCCATTGTTTTGGCTTATGAGTTATAAAGGAAACGAAAATAGGAGTTAGTCTTAAGGCGATCGTTGTGGTAAAAAACCTATGACACCAGGGTAAATTATACATGATTCCGAATTAATCTGAGTTCATCATGCTTCTCATCAGTGGCGTAGCTAGGGTTGGTGTCACCCGGTGCGGGGAAACTCATGGTGTCACACCCCCCACCCCCCCCCATTCCCATGATGATTTTTTTCTTGTTAAAATAAGTCCACAATATTGCAATAACAAGAATTAAAACGAATAAATCGAAGGTCATGAGGTTAATATATTTAAAAACGCAGACCTGTTTACCCTTAAACTCTTAAAATCGTACAATATCATCACAAAATCGCTCAGTACATATACAGTATATATAATGTATACATCTTAAAATCGTACATTGTACGCCAAAATCGTAAGAGTAAACAGGTCTGAAAAGATGGAGTCCAGCATCTACTAATTGTTATCCTGGCATTCTCTTCTTAAACCTTAATCTTCTCTCTACCAAAATTCCATATTGGTCTGATTTAAAAGTGCCTTTTCAAAAGCATTCTCCACCAAGTGACGGCGCTTCTCGTGCAGAAACAATCTTGATGCCTCTAGGTTTGTCATCACTTTGTCAAGAGTAACCCCTTAAATCTGCAGATACTGCTGTGTAAGATTAACTTCTTCAAGCTATAGATCAGCCCAAAGTTAAAGGTAGCAGATAAATTTGAAATCACAGACAACATGTAACAGATCTTGTGCTTAACCTCTTGTATGCACATTTTTACAAGGTGATGACATAGAGCTTTAATCGCCTCCCAAAATTCATCAAATATATCTTTCACTGTTTTAAGAGTAGCATGATGAGCACTCCAACGCGGTGTAGACTGCCTTTTCACTGACATTACAGTGTTTTCAATTGGAACATTCCATCTATTATTGGATGCAGCAAAGAAGGAAAATGCTCTTTCAAGAGTACCGAAAAATGTAGTACATGAAGCATTTTCGGCAAAAGAGTGTTTACCACACAAGTGAATGGCCCACACATTCTTTAAAAATTGCTTTCTTATTATTTCTTTCCGAATGGCTTGAACACAACCATGGATTCCATACATTAGGGCAGCATTATCATAACCTTGAGCTCTGAAAATCAGTATGTCTAGTCCATCATGCTTTAGTTTGTAAAAAATTTAGAACTGAGGTCATCAGCTTTTTTCCAATCTTAACGGGAAAAATGCAAGAAACATTCCTCTCACTTCAACTTTCCCATTGTGGACTATCACATATCTGATCACTACAAACATCTGGTCACTGTGTGATATATCAGGTGTACTTTCGAAAATAATTCCAAAATACCTCGCAGGATTTATATCCATAATAAAAACTCCTTCACATGATTTGCAAGGACACTTATCAATTCATTTTGATTTCTGGTGAAAGGTAAGATTCCTTTTGGGTTTCAATATATAATATTATAGGTCTTCAAAAAAACTTTTCTTTATTTAAATTTAAATAAAAAAAGAATTAATAATTAAAAGATTGAAAATTGTGTAAAATAATATATTTTTTAACCCTATAAATGGGTAAAATTCATTTTTTTATGTTTTTAATTTTTACCTATTTTTACACTTATAACCGCCAAACCACACTTATTTGGTATCAATAGAAAACCATATTTCACAGAATTTAGATAAATATAGCCTCCTGTCACTTAAGGAAGTTACCGAACACTTCAAATGGAATGGAATAATGACTGTTTTTCTGACCTAAACATAGGGTCATCACATTTCTGACGCATCAACCTTGAACTTTTAATGAAGCACGCATTTGGATTGGTTACATTTGTGAAAAATGTATGTGTGATCGGTTATCCTTTTATGAATCTCGGTTAGACCGAGAACTGTGTTCTATTTCTATGTAAATATGCATTTTTTCAATAGGGTGTCACCCCTAAAATGGTGTCACCCGGTGCGGTCCGCACCCCCCTCGCTACGCCACTGCTTCTCATGGCTTACTTTAAGGGTACAATTCTGTCCATATAGGTGGGATGCAAATTAAGAGGATTTGACAGTAAATCAGCCTAACACTTTTTGTGTTCTTTGAACTTTTATATAAAAAAAATGCTAGATACATTAATGATCTCTTCAACATAACATATTTTTATGATAAAAACTTACTTCTTGGAATATAGATGGAATTAATATAAACCCCATGACGTTATTAAGGAAATTACATTTTTTAAAAGTATAACTATAACTATAAATAAAGAAATCTTAAATTTAATATCGCACAAAAATTATATTCATAATGTGTTAAAACTTTATGAGTAAAAGTAGAATAAATAAAAAATACAGTTAAACTTTATATTGAGCATACAATTTTGATAAGCCTCAGTATCACGCAGTAACATTTTAGGTCTTCTAAATATGGTCCATCAAAATGAAAAAAAATATGTTTAACAAATATATTTTCTATTTTAAAAATAAAAGTAAGAAAGCACTACTTTTTACGTAACCATATTTTTATTATTATTGATACTATATTAAAAATAATTGTATCCTCTTCCTAATAAAGCTTTAAAAAATAATCTTAATATGATCCAAAATTGCTACGTGATATTCTCATATCTCCATATCTTTCATATTTCTCCACTGAGTGGTGGAAGCCGATCCCCCCCCACCCCCCCCCCCCCCCCCCCCATTAATTGTAATGATTTAAGGATATCTACCATATCCAATATTTAATAAAGCCATAAAATGGCAGCTTGCAGGAGCTATTAACTTTAATATGTGTTTTCTAACTAAATTCAATTAGTGTACATGCTAATATTTTAATGTCCAAGACAGCCACAATCAAATATGTGATAGATTACATGTACCCCATGTATCTCAGTTTACATGACTTAATGTATACTTTTTAAAATTATTACTTTGCCTTAGAAAATTAAAATGTTTGAAAATAGGTGGCCAAAAGAAGACCCATTCAGTCAAGACGTATGCAGGAATATAAACAACAAATAATCAGCAATAAAGATGTTCGACAACAGAGAAAATGTCCGTACTGTAACCGCATCCTCTACTCAGGTCCTGGTTACCGTTATCATATTAAGAGACATCGCCCAGACAAGGAAAGCTACTCCTGTGATACATGTCCTAAAACATTCAAAAGGTAAGCAGGATTTTTAAGTAAAACAATCGTCGAAAACATAAAATAAATTTATTATTGAACCCATCAAAATTTAAACAGAAGCAAAGATTTTAAGTAAAAAATTATGTTAGAAAAAATAAAGTTTCTTCCTTGAAAAATATTATAATTGTACTTTTGCGAAATAGAGTTGAGCGTTGAGCGTTTTTGGATTTTCAATAAAGCATTAATAATAATATTTGTGCAAATTTTTGGGAACAAATTTAGTTACTCTATCCTCTTGAAAAGTTTAGAAAATATAACAATTTAAGGGAATTTTTTTTCTAGACCAGTTCTCATACATTTCAGCTCCAATGGATTAAAATATCATCAAAAGGGAAAAAAATGTCGAGGAGGTGGAAAAGCCACATCAAGTAAAGAATCTAATGGTAATAATTTTGAGAGGAGTTTGTCTTACATTGTTAATTTTATTACTAGCTAAAATAGTACGCCTATATTAGATCTCAGGTATCAAAGGTTTGCAGAATAGAATTTGTTTAATGGTTCTGTTTTTTAAAATGTCTGATCAAAGACAAAAAACATCAACATGAATTCCCTCAAGACTTATGACCCAGCTAAAATGATAAAAACCTATCCTTCTGTCATTCAGCGGGAAATTTAACTGCTTCAGCAAGTCCTGATCCCTCTCAGCCAGAAGCAGAGACAGGAAATAAAGCAGGGCGTCTAATAGAGTTTGCTAATATAGCTATTGCCACAGGGCCACAGAATCCACCCACTGAGAGTAGAGGCAGGTAATGTCACATTTAAAGTCACCCTAAGCCTAACCCTAACCCCTATATTTTTAAAAGTATTTTATGATTTATTTATTGAAGGATGGAAAATACCCACTTCAAAAAGATATGAAATAATAACATTTTAAAAATATTACACAATAAAAGATTGTCTTGATTTTTTAAAAATTCATGGATATTGCTTAAGAGGTAGTTTGAACCAGGAACAAAATAAGTTTCAAAGATTGAAGAATTGAAACATAGGTTGCGCTTCAGCAAATTGTAACTGAAATATAAAGTTACAAATTTATGAAACAGTCTCAGTAATCCAGAAAATCTTTGTTATCATTGACAGCTTTACTTAAATGCTTCGTGGGGTATTTTAACACATATGAAATATCATAACAAAAGTTGAAAACAGACAATGATAATTTGAGGCACTAATGTGAATAAACTTCATTCACTTTGTTGGTTGTTGAGTTGGCATATTCCATTTATTTCTCTTTTCCACTTCTAGCGTTCCTTCGTCTTCCTTTAACGACTCTGAAACTTCTGCTGTGATAGCATTAAGCAGCATGAAAAAGGTATTTATGGAAATTTCAATGATGAAAAGTAACCATATTGACAATTTTAATTGATGCTTAACTTTATAATGTTTTCTTAAAAGTCAGCTAATTCGACAGATGAGATTAGATCAGGTTCCATAGACTACTGGGTTAATCTGTAATAGCTGAATTGTATTTTCACAGCTTACTCGTGTTGACAGCTGCAGCATCTCACTAAGAATTAAGAGTTGCAGACTTATGTTATTATTTGTGAGAAATACTGAATTTAAGAAGTAAATGAGAATGGGATATTTTTAGACATTAATCAGTTTCATTAAAATGGAATTTTAAAAAACAAATTAATAACCACATTTTTAAAGTGAAATATTGATTCATGAAATTTGATCACTGTTTTTATGATCTTTTTTGTCAATTTATTTCCTTAGAAATGTACACGGGAGTCAAGAAATACTTCTGAACGTCTAGACAGTGGAAGCTCACATCCAACTGGTTCCATGAAACCCAAAAGACCTATGAACTGTTTTATGTTGTTTGCACAGCAAAACCGAGCAGTGCTAAACAAACAATACCCAGAGATGAATAACAGGTAGCTGAGAATTTCCAATTTTGTTAAACTTATATATATATATATAGATATATAAAAGTTTCAGGATAAATAATAAGTTTATAGCCTTCTGGTTATGGAGTTATCTGTAAATCTCCCCCCCCCCCCTTTTTTTTTCCTTCCCTCCTCTGAATATATTTCAGCATTGTTCGTTGTGATCATATTTGCACTAAGACAGTGGTCGGCAAACTCATTTGTCAAAAGAGCCAAAAATCAGCAGCAGGACGATTAAACATTTTTTTTGAGAGCCAAATTTCTTTTCAAGAACCTGTCAGAAACTATGTTTTTCGGAGTCAAAACCGATTTGTGGCTGAATGGCCGAGCCGCATTCAGGTCGCTAAAGAGCCACTTGCGGATCGTGTGCTGCGATTTGCCGACCACTGCACTAGGATAACACAGTAATTTAGATTTTAGATTGCTAATTTTTTTTGGTTCGCATCCTCTATTTTTTTTTTCATGGTGTTTCCTCTTAGTGTGTTTACTTTTCGAAATGTACAAAAAAGAATCAACATTAGAATTATTATTTTTAATGAAATAATGAAGCATATTTTGGAAAGTGAGATAACTTTTCTTGACTTAAACCTGCATACTAACCTTTTTACTGTAAAATATCACGGATGGTGTTATCTGTGGATTAATATAAGAATAGTATTTTCATTTTCAAACAGTTTTGGGGTGCAAATGAAGCAGCATTGATTGTACAATTTTAATATACTGGTAATATAGAATTATTAGTTGTGGCATATTTGTATAGTAGTCTAAATAATGACTTTTACTATTTCAAGAACAAATTAATCAACCAATTTATTTTTATCAACTTGTTAATCATAAGCACTAATTTTAAGGGTGCATAAACCATTTTTTGATGTCTATATGATTTACTGCTTACTTTATTTATTAAAACAACTCTTTTAATTCCACCCTTAGAATGATAAGCACAAAACTGAGCGAAGAGTGGAAAAATTTACCAGAAAGTGATCGCCAAAAATGGAAAGAAGAAGCACGTCTTAAAGCAGAGGAACACAAGAAAAAATATCCAGATTGTTGGAAAAGAAAGAAATGAAAATCTCAACTATAAACTCTACATTGTGTATTTCTTTAACAGATTTGCCATAACTGCAGTAAGGTTAAATACCATAAACGAAAGTGTACAATGTTTGCCATATAACTGTACCTTTAGATACAAATTCACACTAAGTTATAAAATATCTGGTTTTTTACAAAATGCAGAGACTAAGAAGGTTGTGAAATCTAATTTTGTTATGTCATTCATCTTAAAATCAGTATTCTTTTCAATTAGTTACAGCTTTCATTTTCTGCTCTTTTCATGCTTAAGTTTCAAACACATTTAAGTGTGCCTTTCATGATGCAGATCATCTTACCATCCATCAATAAATTTAAATGAACATTTTTTTATCATGAATGGGTGAATTGGAATAATATATTGGGTGTTAGGTCAGAGTTCCCATGAACACTTCTGCACATGTTTTCTCACTACACACTTTTCTTATAAAATCTGATTTAAAATGTAAATTGACAAAATAGTTTGGAATAGAATATTATTTCAACTTTCATATTTGGCTAAGATTTTACACCAATCAGATACTGAGTTTGATTTGGTTTAAATAAAAAAAATAATTAGGCTGACAAGAAAATAATTTTCAGTAGTGATCATTGTTGCTGTTCATTATTTCAATCTCTTTGATTACTAGGCCTATGTCTATTCTTAAGTTTGACATTCAAAAAAAAAAAAAGAGAGAGATCCAAATGTGATAGTTCTGGTTTTCAATGACATATTTATAATAAACCTATTTCATGAAGATATTAATATCAACTTAGTGCGTCATTTTATGTTTAATTATGATATTTTTAAGTTCAAGAACATGGCTTGAGAGTAAATAATTAAGTTTGCTAAATTAAATTAATTGAAATATATCCACACCCAAATAAATGTGATAATATCTGAAAGTAAAATTTGTCTTTAATTAGAGCAATTACAAAAAATAACTACACAAGAAATGAAAAAATAGCTTGACTATTTTCTCAAAATTATAAAACCTTTGAAATGCTTTAATATGACCAATTGGCTGTGAAACTAGAACAACACCTATAGGGCAATATAAATTGTGATTCAGTGTAGGGCATTTTTTAAAACCTGGATTCTTCAGGTTGTAGATTTTTATTTTTTTAATCAATATTTTTATTTTATTGTGATCATAAATGGACAAGACGAAGTAGATAAAAGGAAATTTATTTTTTTAGTCAAAATTCTAAATTTTATTTTTTATTTAGCTTATGAAATAAAAAATAATTTGATTTCTTTTATCAGAAAGACATCATAAACTCAGATGAAATAATTTATTGGTAGAGTCAAAGTACGAAGTTTGGACTTTGAATTCAGAAACTCAATATGAAGCCAGAAAGTTAACAGTATTTTGAGTGAGGTAAAGCTCACCTACATGTTAATGTTTTTCGTTTAGTCATATATAATGACATTTCAAGTTACACTTGCAATATTTTATTGAATATTCTCACAAATTATTTTTTAAAAAGAGTCATGAAAATTTGTTAGTTTCTTTAATTAAGTTTTAAACAAATAAATAAAAATATTTATATTTATCACATAGATATCCTACACAGTGGTAAATATTCTATCAGATCAAGATGAAATTTATTTATTATTCATCATAATTTTTGTCTTTGTTTTAATGTTTAAGAACTTTTCCAATTAATTTTAAGCGTTTTTTGTGTTTAACTGAAGCCCATAAAATTCCCTATACATGTATCTAATATTTTTTTAAACCATTTAAAAAAAAAAATAAATTTTATTAAAAATGCATTATTGAAAAGGTCCTGACCATTTGGCTGTATCTGGACAAAAAAGCTCAATTCCTTATTGCACTTGTAATTCTGTTTATCAAAATCATTGAACCATGTCTACTGTGTATGAATTATCATACCTAATAAATGTAAGAATTGTAATTAAACCATGGGAAAGCACCCTGTAAACATATTAAGTTGCTATAAGATTTCTTTAAAAAATGTTACACAAGTTTAAGAGAATATGTACTGGACATAAGTTATAAGAAAAACTGTTGCTAATTATTAGTGTTATTTGTTTATCAGACACCATGCTCTGATTCTGATGCAAATCATGGTCTAAGACTATTTGAAGGATACTATCTAAAGAAATGCACAGAGATCTCATTATCTTTTCAGGCTTATGTTAACTATTACTACTATATACCTTTATTCAATCATCTTATAGCACTGTAAACAGTGATTTCTTTTTTAAAAGTTAACCTGAGTCTCATTTCATTGCCTTACAAATTTTTACTTTAGCAGTGGAATACTTTTTTTTTTATAAGAACATTATTGATGTCTCTGTAGAACAGAAGATCTCAATGTTTTGATTTATGTGAGGTTTCATTTTCATTTCCTTTTTAGGAATAAAAAAAAATAATAATTTGCCATTCAGCACACTTTTCTTCACAGCTTTTTCTTGCATTTTGCTTAAAATGAACATAATAAGCACATTTTATGTCATTTAGGCACCAAAAAACCCAAAAAACTAGATTATTCAAAGCATTTAAAGTAAATATATTATACCTGAAGGTTTAATAAAACAATAAACCCTCCATCAAGTTTCATTTTGAAGGCATTATCGAGTAGTTTGTGCATTTCACAAAAGATTTGGTTGGCAACATATTGACAATAAAAGAAATTATTTTGCTAGCAGACTTAGTTTGAAGAGAAACCACTGAGCAGATGGCTTAGAATTCAAATATTGAGGTGAGCAAATGACTTTTGGTGAAATAATTTTTTCTTTGCTTAACACACCCCTTCATACACAGGGCTGGTTTGGTCTTTCGGTGTACATTTTCAACATAATTAATGAATGTTGCATTTACTTCTTGTACATATTTTCCTGAGTGAGCAGAAACTAGTTATCTACTTTATTTATAAAGTACGTATACATTTTCTTTTTCTTACTAGGGATCATTTATGACATGTTGGAATATATATCAACTGACCACATTTTGTAGAAGTGCATGAGGTATGTGTCGAAATCTTGTTGACATTGTATGATTGCAATGATTGAGACAAATGTTAGTTTTATTACTAGAAAAATGAATAGGTCTTAAGGTTTTGTTTTACTATTAATAATGTAAACATTTTTGTTAGTGACTTTGTTGAATGAGGTTATTAATTGTTCACATTAGTCAAGGGGCTGATGTCACTAATCCATGTATAACATAACTTGTTTTTTATTTTCACTATCAAATGTCAAGCAAAGATTTAAACATTTTTTATTTTTTTTTGCGGTATGGTTGTGTTTAGCTTTAACTAGGGCTCCATAAAATTTTAATTCTTTTAGACAAGTGATACTTTAATAAAAAAGGAACAACAATGTCCTTATAGCAGTGGTTCCCAAACTGTAGTTCATGGGTCCACAGTTCTTAGGGTGTTCTTTGAACAAGTCCAGATTTTTTAATGATATTTTTGGAACAAATGTTTTGTTCTATCATTACATTTAAAAAAACAACAACTTTTGTCTGTGGTTGAACTCTTGATTCATCCAGTTTAATTTTATGAGTTTAAGATTTGTTGAGAGCTGAAGTAATTTACTGTTACCAACTTTTGTTTTAGATTACACTTATTTGATAGTCCAACACAGTACAATTATTTCTGCCACAATAATGAAAAGATTAAGACAGGATTTTTACACCGTGCCCCAAGCCAGAGAATAGTTCTAATAATGATTACAATTTTGATGTCGAGCATCATCCAGTTTTCCTATATAAAAACAGAACAGTAGATAGATTTTTACAGTGTCTGTTACATGTCGTTACTGTCATTGCATCAACACATCAATTCTAATACCATGTGGGCTAAATGTCATTTTAGTGACATTATGAGTACTTCACTCCCATTTGCACACACTTTGGGAACTCCTTGAGGGATATTCTTTAAAATAAGTGTTTAATTTCTTTAAAAATGTATCAAAATTAGTTAAAATTATGAACAGTATCCATCATTTCAATATTTTGAGCGTGATATTAGGCATATATCATTACCAGAATGTTATTACTTAAAAATTATGCCACAACAAATGCAATAGTTTGTGGAATGTCAAATGAACCATGTTCAGATAATTGGGACTCTAATGTACGGTAGTGTTAAATTTAAGAATAGGCAAAACACCTCAAAGTATGAAGATGTAGGATTGTTAAACAGTTGAACACCGGTGGTCTGAAATATTAGTAAATGAATTTGAGAATCCAAGCATTATTCCAGTCAGTATTTCTGACAATGGTGTACATTCCTTTTATGAACTAAAACACAACAAAAACCATTGAAAGATTTGAAAGTTTACCTATGCCATTATTAGTGTTTTGTTATGTTCAAATGTATTCAACAGAGCAAGTATTTTCACACCCCATATAACAATTTTAAATCTCATATTATTTCATCATAAATACATCCATCATACCACAAAAATATTGTTTTTGTAAAAAAAAAAATCTTTTTTTAAAAATGAACATATTGATCACCAATGAGAACTACACTTTTATTTAGGAGTTAAACAGCACTAATTATGGCAGCGTTGATTAAAAACCAGTCAGTGGAGGTGAATTCCAAAAGAAGCTTGTTGTAAGGGAGACAACTCATGTTCTAGGGTTTGGAGATGAAACAAAATAAATATATATGTATTTTTATTCAGTTTGTATCAGTCGTACATTTATCACCTTTAAGTGATTTTATTAAATATAAATTAATATTAATCAAATGGTTAAAGAAAAAATAAAAGCAAATAGTTCATATGCATTTAAAAATTATTGCAGACAATTAACCTATCCATCAATGCCAGGCATTCTGAAAATAATTTTTTTTTAACAAGATCAAATTTAGATCATATTTAGACACAGTTACACCAATTTTTATTTCTCTAAATGTGGTTTTCTTGTAAGATAACTCTTGGAATGGATGGGATATTGAAATTAAATGCTGAAACACTTTAAAAAATGTTCCTTGGCTCTTTAGGTTATTATTTAATTTGCTTGCATTTATTTTATTGATAAACTATGAATGTTTGATTCAAATGTCAACATATGACACTCACATGTTGTTTTGGAAATGTTTTTTTTTTAAAACAAAGATATTTAAACTCCTGTCACATTTTTAACAAAAACTAATTATAGTTTTTAATCTTGAAGATATTCTTTTACCCACAGCATAATTTTCATGGGTATCTTGATATTATGTTGAAACTTTGCTTCATTTGGTTGTAACAATGCAGTAAGGAACCTTTTAAATAACAGCAGAAGGAAGAAAAGGTTATAGTGTACTTACTTATTAGACAGAGTGTTGTATTATTGCAGAATATAAACTACTCATTATTTAATTTATTTATTTAGCTATATTATTTTATTTTGTGCTTATCCAAAACCCTAATACATACTGTGTGATCCTAGACACCACATACTGAAATGTTTAGTAGACATTCAATGTATAACTCAGTCCAGATGGCAATACTCAAAAGAAGCTAGACTACACAGCTTTTCTAGGGTACAAAATAAACAAAGGAGATAAAAAAGGTTGCTGCTTAATAATTAAATATATTTATAGATATAGTGTTAAAAATTTATAATAATAATTTTTGAATAATTTATTTCATGGACCCGAAGTGGTTTAGTTATCAAAAAGTTGTTAATTTAGAGAATAATAATAATGAAACAA